TGAAAACTGCAAGGACTCGTCCAAGCAGTCACTGCAGAGTCGGTAACGACTGAGCGCAGATAAAAAAAACAAAACCCTTTGCAATAAAAAAAATGACTTTTGGTGGCTGACATAGAATTATGTGGGCTTTAATTGACAATGCTGGATATAGAAATTCCCCCAAATTTTCTTGCTTCTAAGACTCAGATATATAAAATTAGTGGACCAAAGCTTGTAGAGCTACTGTAAACATAAATCAAATCATAAGAACTCTTGTACACCTCTTCAAAGACTCAGAAGAAGAGAATAAACAAATTTATTTATTTTTATTTATTTATATTTCAAATTTAGATACCACCCATCTCATGAAAAGTGACTCTGGGTGGTTAATGCAATCTAATGCAATCTAAAAGCACATTCTATTAATTTTTAAAACATTATTGTGCAATAAATAATGCCCTGTCAGGTATATTTTAATCCCTTCTTTCATGCACCAGCTGTGTTTTTTCCATGTCACAAGTTTATTCCATCCTGTTTTTATATTTTGAATCTATTAAGCAACTTCAACTTGAATTTCCCCTGAGTAACGCTGCAGGTTAGATATAAAAATAGGACAGCACAATATTTGAGGGGTAACATTTATGCCAGTTAATTAATATGGATAGTTGAGCTTTATATCTATCTCTTTTTCATGTTTGCACATTTGGGAGTTATCAGTGCCTGAACTATACCCACACAGTCATAACACTCTATAGACAAGAGAGTGAAAGCTGCAATTCTTTTTCTGCATAGAACTTGGGTACAAGAGGATTCCCAGAGCATATATTCAACATACAGTAGGTCTGTGCTATATTATATTCTAGATTTCCCAAGCCTGCAGTTATAGGTTCATTCAGTTCCAAAGATGCTTTCCATACAAAAGCACGTGTCCGTACAATCTATTGTAATGGATGTGTATTATATTCTGAAGTAAAGATAACTTTAAAGGACTCTGTCTACATCGGCCTGGGTACCTTCCAGTTATATGGACAACTTCCAAAATTATCAGCAATGGCCCGACTGGCTGGGAAATCTAGGAACTGAAGTCCACACATTTGAAGGATGCCCAAGTTGGGAAAGGCTGGTAAACTTTCACAAATTCTACACACAGAAGTAGGTTCTTTGGCCCACCAGAAGCTCTTTTTACTTAGTAGTATAATACACATAACATCAATTCCTATTCTTTCTATTTTTTTTTTCATTTGTCACACAAAGCCATGAAAATCAATTATTATGATCCAATGAGATGTTGCATGTGAACACATGAAACAACACACTGACATTACTGACTTGTGCTGACTTCTGGGAACTAAGCAGAACCCCCCTCTTTGCTGAAGACAAATATGCTGGAAATTATGCTTTATTTGAATCATGTCTAATTATTATATAGGTAAAATGAATTTATAGCACCTAAAGATCTTACCGAATATCTCTATTATTAACCAGAATTTGGAGTTACATAAACCCTATTTAGATATTATAAAATGAACAGCAGTAACATATTACTCCCATTAAGCACTGTCCCCATCAATTCATTTGAACCACATTCAGTGCAGATGTCTGCAAAGGAAAGCCTTCATATATACATGTGCTGGATTCCACCGAGCAAGAATCTTGTTGCATAAGGATACTGGCTCATATGGAAGTCAGTACAATATTATTGTACATGCAAAGTCTTTCCTCTGAGACATACTTATCCAGAGCATGCAGAATCTGTCAGGATGCTAACATTCTTTGAGCAACATGGATGGGAAAGTGAAGATTATTGAGACTGCTCATATGGTAAATGCTAACCTGAATAGGGCAACAATCTCAATCTTTTGACACACTACATTTTAGCAACATCTAAAAGAACCTGTTGTTACATGTGGTATTTGAAGAACTTGGAAATTAAACATTTGGCTTTTAAAGTGCAGTTTAAGTAGGATGTTTTCTCATTCCCTGACACTGAATGCAGTTCTGGAACTAAAGAAGTCTAGTTCAACATTTGAGTTTAGATTCTCTAGAGTTTAATGTTCTGTGGGAAATGACTGGGATTATTGGGAAGTCCCAGGTAGACCACACTGCCAAACAAAGGCAAAGCCACTTCATTATTTGGTGAACCTTGACATTTTTCCAGGGTACTTAAAAATACATACAACAGACTTACCTGTTTTCAGTGCTTCCCTTTCAACAATATTTGTTCGGAAGAATGTTCTAAAACTTAATGGAGTTATATCGCCATATTTTGACATCTTCTCTGCAACTTCCTTAAACATTTCCACCATACTATGCAGGACTTCATCTAAATTGATTGTAGAAGCTGATGATGAAGTCAGAGTTAAAGATATGGTAACAGCTGTAGTACATGTTGGATAGGACTGCACAGCTTCACATCTAATTTGGCAGCTCTCCAGTGATCTCATCTGTGTAAGTTTTTGTCTTTGCTGTTGTTTGTCTACTACTGCAATGACATGCCACTCAATGGAAGCAGCTCTTGGAAGAAAAGGTACCACAGCCACAACTAGTTCTCCATGTACTTCAGGCAAATCATTATTCGTGTCTTCATCTTCTGCCTGGAAATTAAGTGGACCACTCTGAATATTAGCAAACATTATTTTTTAAAGGTATATATACATATAAATGCACATATGTGTATGTATGTGTATACATGTTTTTACAGTTGATTTTTAATGGATTAATTTTAATTATTTATGGGGTATTTTTAATTGTTTATGGGTTTTTGATTTTAATTGTGAGGGTTTTTGATTTTAATTGTGAGGGTTTTTGATTTTAATTGTGAGGGTTTTTGATTTTAATTGTGAGCCGCCCAGAGTCACCCGTTGGGGGCGATGGGCAGCATACAAATTTAATAATAAATAAATAAATAGTACATACTCATATGTAGAGGAAAAAGTGATAAAGATTTAACACACAAGGACAAGCAAGCCACACATTTCATCCTATATATCAAATAACACACAATGTTACATAAAACTTTGTTTTTCAAATAGAAGTTTTTCAAGTAAAACAATTGGAATTCTCAGGTTCCTTGTTTCACACAATCTATTTCAAGCAGAAAGGGAGGCTAGTGATGTTCAAATATACATGGGAAAAACAAGGCATACAGCTAAAGAAAAACTAATATTAGAAATGGTACAAAATATTTATGAACAAGGGAATTATAGAACTGCAATATCAAAGAAAATAAAGCCAATGTAATGTTTACATGGCTAGTTCAGAGAAGATGGACATTCTGAATATCAAAATTCTATATAATATATAGAATTAATTGTATTTTTTGTTCTGTTTTTATATTGATTTTTGTATTGTTATTATTCACTTAGGTTAGATGGCCATATAAATTTCCTAAATAAATAAATGTTATACATTTTAGAATTTGTTTTAAAAATAATTTTATTAAATATTATAATTACAATAGTAAAAACTAATACAGGTGTCCCAGAGGAAGAAATGGCAGTGAGCAGACTGACTCTTTGAACCTCCCTTGATAAAGGAGAGGACCAGAGATTGCCCACACATGCTCCAGACAGTTGCTCCCTGCTCTTTGCCACAGCTGTTGGCTTCACTTTTCATGGAGCCATCTTCAGTCCACTATTCCTTCCAGATAGTCTTCAAAGGCAGCCTCATATAGAGTGCACTGCAATAGTCCAATCATTTTAGAATGTCAAACTTTATGTTAGTTTATTATAAAGCTTACACATGGGGTTGAGATTTTGGTGGGATGAAAATGTACTAATGCTTACTTGGAATATGTACAACATTTCTCTTTTACTCTTTATGTAATGTTCCAAAAAAAAAACCCTACTCCCTCAAAGTGAAACTGGAATTTTCTAAGCTCTTCCCTTTCCAAGCTATGCACAAAACTGAGTGAAGTTAGGATTTCTTTTTATTTTCTTATGATTTACTATAAAAAAAAGGAGGAAAAAGGAAGAGAAAAAAAGTAAAAAAATAAAAAAAGGAAACAACAAAAAACAATTTCATAAGGAGAAAATAATTCAGCATTATTTTTAAATGTTGTCCATGTGGAATAATATTGATCTGTCTGTTTATTACATTGATAAAGAGTTCATGAACAGAAAACTTATGAAAAGCAAGAAATGAACCACGGATCAGAGAGGACCATTTTCTAAACCCAGGCTGGGCAATGTGAGAAATGGCCTCATGCAGTTCATTACAACAAAAGGGCAAAGAATGAAACTCAGAAACTTAAAAAACTTAAATCCTGGAGCAGACATACATAGAAAACCATATTCCTAACCTTTGTAGAAGCCAATTTTCATCCTAATTAAAGTTGCTTGTATCTGAGATACAGCCCATGACTTCCCTTGAAAGTGTTGAGTTTCTAGAAAAAAGAGTGGTTGCAGTGGTCTGGGGACACATATTATAGATACAAGGCTGTAAATCTGGGATTGCAAAAATAGAATTTATGCAAGATGCTAGTGATGTAAGTTAGCCTTTTCACAGGAACAGTAGCACAGAGATATGGAAACTGTTTCTTCTTTTCAAAGCCACCAGATTCCTCTTTGAAAAATGAAAAAAGAAAAGGAGAAAAGGCGGGGGTGTGTGTGTGTTTCAGTCCTGGCCAAATGAGCCAAAGCAAAGCCTTGAGAAAAATTAAGAATTGATGACTTGGGTCCAGACCCAGAGTTCATGCCAGTAACTGTAGAAGATTTACTTGTCTTAAACCACCACCTTGAACCTCTGGTTATTTATAAGATGGTTCAGTTTACGAGGTAAAGAAAGAAGCAAAAAATATAATGGATGGGATGTGCCTGCTTCTCTCCCTCTGCAAGAATTTTTTTTGCTGAATCAACAGAGAAGTAGCTAAAAAAATAATACTCTGCTTTTTCAGGCTGATCTTATGGCATCATATCAACGTCTTATTGCTGACATAGATTCCCTGGTATATTTAAATCTAAATGCCATCAATGGAAAATTGGATTCTCTTCCACATCTTTTACTATTCCCCAAGAGGCATTCCAGTAAATAGGAAAATTAGTTGAATTCACTCCACTGAGATAAATTAAGCTGTGTCATGATATATTTTACAACTCAAATTATGCTTGTTATCCAAAACAATGCAACAAACATCTACAAATGTTACTCTTCTAAAAAAACAGCAATTTCTTTGGGCTAGCTGCTATGCATTCCAATTTCTCCAGTGGATTTAGTAGCGGTGGAGTGGCTTCCAAACTCCAGAGACGTCTGTAGAATTATACTTATATTTAATACCTGCATAATCCCATCTACGCTAATGAAAATGAGGAACAACCTGGCTTCTCTTCAAATTTCTCCTAGCCAAGTTTCCAAAGACCTGACAACTAAGCCTTTGTTAGTGCCTTCTGATGTTGGGCTCATTGCCAAGAGCAGAGCTGGAGAAAAAGATATAGATAAGAACCTGGCTGCTATCCCAGAGAGGCTGACCATGGGAAGGCAAAAACAGAATCCTCGCCAGGATGAATTAATCACCTTCCGCTCTCCTACTCTTAGAGACAGAAGTCAGGAACTCTTTTGTCTTGCTACCCAGGAATAGGTAAGTTTTTGTTTTTCAGATGTTACAGAGCTTAAGGCAGAATTTAGCTACTTACTTCCCAATGGCTTTACAACTATTGTCCAAAAGACCCAAACCTGTCTTCCAATAAGTTCAAAGGGGGACTTGTTTTAAACAGCAATCATGATGACAACACAGCTGTTCCTATCTGTGATTTATCAAGAGCAACATATCTTCCTTCCTATTGGCATGCATCTCCTTCATCCTGTCTATACCAGATGGAAGACCTCTTTAGTCCTATCACTTGCTTTCCAACACCTATCACTAAATAGCTCAGATTCTGTTACAGTGGACATCTTTGTGCAGACTTCTGCTTCTCTATCTCAGAATGCCACCCTAAAACAACAGATAAGCCCATGGACAAAAATCATCACATGTCCTTGTTCCCCATCAGCTCAGATGTCCCGACTTCCTGGATTCAGTGCATACAAATGTTCAACTTCTGTCATATATGTTGTCTCTCTCAAATTACTATTATCCTCTACCCCTGCCATGTACCTTTTGTTTTAGAACACTGTGGAATAGTGCTCTAAACTATCCAACCCAACATTTGTAGACTATTTAGGACACTTTGCAATTTTATTTTTATAAGAGACCTGCTGTTAATGGGATTCTTTGCTTTTGAGACAATTAAGCAAAATCAACCACCACAAGTTAAGGATCCCTCTTCTACTGATTGGTATCTCAGGTCTGTATGATCCTGTAAGCTGTCTATGGTCTCAAACCAATTTTTTGATGTCCGATGGTTAATTTCCTGAAACAATCTATAAACATAGTCAGTGATACCCACAAAACAATCTCTATACAGTAATACCTCTGTTCATGAACGCTTCTGTTCACGAACAATTTGGTTCACGAACAGCAGCATTCGCAAAAGTTTGCTTACGTTCATGAACTTGCATCGGGGGACGAACATGACCCACGGCCATCTTCCCTGCTCTGACACGTGGTCGTGGCTTCCTCTAGGTGAGATCGCCTGTACTTTGTTTCATATTTTTGTGGGTCTGTTATATTCTTTATTTT